TAACTAAAATAATATTAATAACACTCTTTGAAATGTATCAATGTCAAAATTGTTGAGTTTTGCATAGATCATGATATTTCATTCTTTCCCTGTCAACGATAAAATTTTCATGGCAAGTAGTAAATAATGAACAAAATTATGTTTCAGAAACTTTTTTTTCTACATTCTTCCAGTTTCAGGTTGAATAAAATTCTGAAACATTAAATTTGAGTTTATCGTGTTATGCATGTTACATGATTCAAACTCGAGTAAATTGAGTCCCATTTTACCAGCTTTAAAGGTGTTCAATCAAAGCTAACAATGAGCTCATATTTGTGGGCAAACATTGTGATAAATAAAACTCAAGAAACACGATAAACCAAAACGAGACTAAAAATGATGACTTTCATGATCACTTTCACTTACTTTGGATGAATTTAAGTTTTGTAAAGATTCCCAAATTTCGAAAAATTGAAACCTTCGATTGTTTCAAAGACGAAATTGATTGAATCGTGGATTTAAATATCGCTAGAAATCGAAAAATTTTATCAAAAATTAACTGAATACAGTCATCAACTTTGACTAACTCAGATATTGTTCAGCATTAAAATGAAAATTTCATTTTTTTCGATTCATCAAAGTTGAACCAATGCTTGAGATAAAAAATGCTGTGAAAAATGATGTTAATCTTGCTATAGTCTGTGCTGGATGATTAGAGTCGTCGAGTTTAATTAATCACAGAAACACTAATTTATCGCCATGAACTTTTAATCTCTCAATGGAGCCAGGATCAGCACTTTTCCAGTTTCAATAATCATTGGATTATTTTTCATTATTATTTTTACAAGACAAACATGAAAACATCTGTATTGACTGAAGAGCTTTATGATGAATTAAATAACTTAAGTTTACTTCAACAAGGAATCTCACCTTTACTTTTTTTAGACTAATTTTTGCTCGACTAATCTGACCAAATCACAGTTGATTTAACATGATTTAGTACTTTGACATGATTACTGTAACAAGTAACAGTTAATCCTTGAGCAACTATTCCAATTATGAAATTATTTGACTAAAGATAATTTTATACTTAAAAACACTTCATATTACTTTTGCACTAACCTTTTCTGGTCAATTTGCTAATTGGCTTGACCGCTTCTCGTCTAATCATTTTGGACAAGAAAATGTCGCCATATGTTGCAACTGAAACATTAAAGTTCGAGTTCATTTCACTTGAACATTGCTGAGTTTTAATGAAAGTAAAGGCTGACTCACAGTGATTTGCTCATTTTCATTGTGACGAGAAACTGAACTTGAAATTTTCTTGAGTCAACATTTTGACTGTCAAAATTGAGTTCATCCTGATTCATGAAGTTCAATTTAAACATTTTATCCACCTGAAATGTATACACATTGTTCAATGTGATTTATGCTGATCTCTGTAAACTTAATAAATCAAGATTATCTGATTAGCGCCGCATTATAAACATGTGAAAATGAGTTTAATCAGTTTTACAAATTTCTTTACATTTGAATAATTTAAAGTGTAAAAGTATCTTTTACACTTCAATGAATATCAATTAAATCCATCTTTGGCTTGTTTCAATTTTAATCAACTTATAACTTTAACATATAAACCTCATTATCGTTAATATACTTAAGCAAAGTCAAAAGGTTCTGAATCCAGAAATGATATATCTCAGTGTTGCCATGTTATCCATCTGGCAATGTTCAACTCCCACCAGTTCAGCATTTTTCATGATCAAAATTGTTCTATCTGAGTAAACAAAATTTACCTTTTCTTTTGGCGAACAAAATATATCTCATTTTCTTAGGAAAATGTAAAATATTACAAGAAGAAGGGAAAATAATGTTAATCAAAATATAAAAAACAAACTGGTTAAAGTTGATTCAGTAATCATGAATTCCTAAGGGTATAATTACCAAATGAAAAGTTTAACTCATTGCATGGTAAACTTTTTTTCCATGGATCCAAGTAGCTGAAACTTGCATCTAGAGGTAATACAGGTAAAGATTGATGTCAAAAACATGAACAAGAAATGATTAACAATGAATAATCAGTATCAACAATTTACTTCAAAATAACCTTGTCTGAGTTTCGTTGAGCACAAAACAAGTACAAGTTTCAAGGTGTTTGATCAAGTTTATCTCTCATGTCAGACTCGATCAATCTTGGAAAATACCAAAATTCTTGCCTTCCATTGAGTAAACTTTGAACAGATTGAGAGCATTTTGTGAACTGAATCTTCAAGTAAACAGAGGAACGGTAAGGTTAGAAAAGATCGAAATTGAAACAGTTTGAAAAAAGAAATTTGCTTCGAACAAATTGCGAACCATTTTCATGTTCAATCTTTTTCGTTTGTTGCAACAAACGTCATTTTTCAAATATTTTTGGCCACTGGTCAAGTTGAGCAAAATTTTTCCCAAAATCATTTGGCAAGCATACAAGAACAAGTCTGTAATTTAGACAAATGGATAACGAATAACTTTTTTGCCTCGATTCTATTGTTGCTCTTGTCTGTCTAAAACATCTCAAGTCAGTTTCTTGTACTTCGTATTGGTAATGTCATTCAGTGGTTAATATTACAATAAATACAGTCACATGGAAACATACACGAGTCTATTTTAAGACGTTGGAACAACCAAGAATCAAGTTTCTTCTTATTCGCATGAATTATTTGTGAACACAGCGATTTTTACTTTTACTTATTTTGGAAAAAATCTTTTCCTTCTCTATTGTTTTACCAAGCAAAGTAGGATTACTAATGTTTTGAGTTAATTTTCAAAACTGGAATCACATGACATTCCCAGTTAGCCTAGAGTTACAGGCATCATTTACCGTTAAGATAAAAGTGAACTTTTCAAGAACATTTTGACCAAAAATTGTCAAGTTATGACCCTGAATAGTCAAAATCTGATTTCGCCTTCCCTCAAAAACCATAGTTCTTCAATTTTTATATCAAAGTTTCAAAGAATCACAAATGTTTTAAATTTGGCCTCAAAGTTGAAAAGATGAAGATCATCCAATGTAACTCAACTAAGATCGATTGAAGGTTCAGCTCTACAAAGAAGCTAAAATTTATGTACAATCAGAAGACGAGTTTTCATGAATTAAAGAAAAGACTATTGAAAAATGACTTCGATTTCGACTATTGAGATTATTCCCAAAAATATCAGAAGGTCCATTTGCTGCTGTTGATCATAAAATGAAATATCTTTAAAGCACACTGAACATTGTGTTGAGAAGATCTAAAATGTATTCGGAAATTATTTATTAAATGATTTCTGCTCCAAACAAAAATAGCAAAATTTGTCAGAATCTATCGATATTCACACATGATGTTGTCTCATTTATGTCTCTATCAATGTTCATTTTAAAGGATTTAATCAAATATTAATGTTAGTCAAAACTTGAATTGTTTAATCATACTCTAACTTTTCCAGGTAAATCTTTGTTGAAGTAAATACTTGCCATGGGCCTTTATTCCCATTGCTTGAGAATGAAGTGAAAATTGAACTTTCCCTTGAATAACCTTACATGTTCACACACACAACACACAACAAGGATTACCTTTTGAATCAACATTTTCCTTCTGCAAACTTGCACAACATTTAAAGTAAAGTTACACTGTAAATCACTGTTGATCATCACTTTCACCATTCCCATCATCATTACCATCTTCACCTTTACCTTCATCTGTTTCGCTCTTCATTTCATCATCACTTTTCCGATTCCATTTCAAGCAGTTTCAATAATCTTTTGTTTACTTTTTTTCTCACACTTTTTGCCAAATCTTTTCCACTCTCTATATACCTTTCAATTTGCTCATTTTAAAGTTGCATTTTTTTGTTTCACTGAGCAACATTGTCATCTTCAACATTCCAATTCATTGATCTTTTACTGAATTATTGCATGTTATATTTGATATCAAATACAAATATTGAAGAAAAGATGAAAAAGCAAAGAAAATAAAAGTTGCTCTTCAAGTTTCATTTCAATTTTTTGTTCATTATTCAAGTGATACAGAAACTTGGCTCATTTACCTTGTATAGATGTCCTTGTAGCCCAAAGGCTTCCCATGTAACCATGAATAAAACACAATCTAGTTAGTCACCTACCATTGAAAGCGAGCACAAATGATCAAATTGAAAGAGCAATGAAGCGGAAAGTTGACAAACAAAAAGCCATTTCCTTTTCCCTTTTCATGTCTTTCACCATGTAATACATAAGTTGACAAATAACATTTTTCAACATTCTTGTATCACATTTCAATATCTGATGAACATCTAAGTAAACGGTAAAAGGCAACCTTTTACCTCATCATTTGGATTCTTTGCATTCTCCAGGTTTACTTGAAATGATCATCTTTAATGAATTTCCTTCCAACTCAGTTCAACTATTATTACATGGTAAATGGAGAAAAGTTGGTAAAAGTGAATTGAAGTAAAAGAGTTTCATGTGCTATCAAACCCCATTCAAATGAATATTCATGAATATTGATAAAGGTTTCCAGTTGATATCAATATCATTATTCAATTATCATAACATAATATAATTTAATTGGTGTCAACTTGCCTGCCTTTTCATCTCACCAGTTGTTACCTTTTTGTGTCTCGTTATTAATAGCAAAATCTTTCATTATTTAACCCTTTTATTAAAACTGTTGAACTCATGAGAAGAAAAGTTAATCATGATAAAGATTGCTTTTTCTGAACAATTGACATTTTTTTCTAACTCTTTTCATTTGGCAATTTGCTTTCATGAAAAAACTCGACTCGTTAATCGAATGTAAATTTGCTTGGAAAAGCTTCTCGACATTTGTTATTCCAAATTTCAATTCGATCTTCTTTTGTACTTTTTTCTTAATGTTTCAGCACAAAATTAATGTTCTTAACATGATAACATTTAAAAACATGGAAATATTCATGACATTGATTTTGTTTCATTTGACATAAAATTACCATTTCAAGTTTTCTTCTTTTTTCTCATTCTTGCACAGATCACTTGGTTGCAACTTGGCGCAAATCGTTGACGTTGGTTTGATGAATCTCAATGTTGGTTCTCGATGAGAATTGATTGAACAAGGAATTTGTAAATCGACCAAAGATGACTGGCAACTCGAAAGAAAATGATTCAATCTTTTCTTTTACATCGTTCTGCAAACAATAAAAGAGTTTATAAAGTGCGCTTAATGTATTTTTTGGGTGCATTTCAAATGATGATACCAAATGAAAACTCTGTTACATTTTATTAGCATCCATTAAGCAGCAAATAAATTAAATGCCAATTGAATTACTAAAATGATTCCTAAATTATTCATATTATTCATCTATTTATGTCATCAAAAAGTGACTAACTTTTCGAGTTTCAATTTATCTTTAATTCAAAAGTATTTTGCTTTTTGTTACTTTTATAAAAAAAAGAGCATGAAAATGGTCGACTTTTGAAGTTGTCTTGGACAGTGAAATGTGTCGTTACTTGATTTTAATGAGCTTACAGCTTTCCAATATCATTAGTTGAATAGTTTTCCCATGTAAATGAGACTTTGATAATTATCAACTCTTGTTTCATGTTGAGTTGATTGATTAAGATGGTGAAGTGGGTTGTTTGGGTCAATATTAACATCTAATTGATGATTTATGCTTCTGTTTGGGTTGACAGGCTCATTGACAGTAGCGACTTGAAATGTTTTCTGATTAATGAGATGAAATGGTTTCTTTGGGTGACATTAAAATTAGAAGGTTTAAATGTCATTCAAAGCATAACATGAAAAGATCAGCTTTGACTTTCAGGTCTGCAAGTGTGAAAATCCAAGGGAAGGATTGTAAATGAACACAAAAAAAAGATGAAAAATAATGGACCAAAGTGGCCAGACAGACAGATGATAACCTGATGAAAAAAAAGTATAAAATAAAATTGTATTTTCATGTAATTTGAAGCAAGTTGAGTTGATTAAACAACGATACATTTCATTAGACATCAAGTTTTGGATTTTCCTTCAAGAGTTACATGGATACACGAAAATTCATTAAAATTCAATAGTTTGTCACTCGCCACAATCAAGACTCGAGGACTTGATAGACTGTAACAAGTCTGGAGAAAACTTTAGACTTGATTTGATATTGACTGGTAAATATTGGAATTAATTGATTTTTCAACGAAAATTGATATTCCAGTCAAACTGGCATCAGGCTTTTCTGAATATTATTATGCATTATGCATCTTCGATATTCTAGATAGATAAGTAAATACTGAGAAATGAACTAAATAGCTTCCAATTTAAGTTGACTATTAGAGCCTATTGGAGCCTTCAGTCATGAACTGTTGAACTGACTAACTTCGAGAAATTATTGAATGCCAAAACTTAGAATCAAACAGTTCAAGTCTTTTCCCTTATTGCCTTGATTTCAAGCTGATTATTTAACTCATTTCGCAGTTTCATCATGCTGTTCATCATAACCTTTCTTCGGTTAAAACTTCAAATGAAAATTTACCTGGGAAAAGCACTTGAGAGATTTTCGAGAATCGAAAGTAGGCCGTCGGGAAGATTAACAAATCATTGAAATATCAATTTTCTGCTGTTCGATGGACATAATTTCTCCATGTTTTTGCATATTTCATGGCTTATTTGTCTTCGGTTTGTTTGCATTGATTTAGTTGCTATTGTTGGTCTTTGTGGTTTTATTGATTAATCTTGAAGTTACCCTTTACGATGTGATGTACAATTGGCAATAATCAATAATTTATTCAAGAACTTTTGGGACATTCGTTGTATTTCGATAAGAAACTGAACATTAAAGATGAGCTTTTTCGTTTGTCTATAAAAAATGAACCATAAAAGGTCAAGAAAAGTGAAGATTAATGATAAAAAGAGGTTTGAAAATGACGAGGATGAGGTTGATCATTATCATTGTTAACAAGCTAACAAAGTTGTATACTCTTCATCTTATTGTCAACGGAAATATAGTAAACTGAAAAAAGTAAAGAAAAAAATGTGAACCTGATTTTTTCTTGTTGTTGATACATTTTCTGGTAAATGATCGGTTCAAGAGCAATGGTAATTACATGATGAAAATAATGATACAAAGGAAAGGCAAGATGAGCAACAAGATAAAAACTTTTGAGGCAAATTTTTTTATCTCTGATTATGGTTGTGATATCGATAACATTGTTATTTTGGCCAATTTTACCTTTACAAATGCCAGGGTAAATATTGAACAAAATGAAACTATTATAAGTCAATATTTTCCTGAAATCAAGATACACATGAAATGAATAAAATGATGAGATGGGCTGGAGTAAGTTGAGCTTCATTTAAAATTATATTCCAAAATATAATCTCGATCAGCTTATTATTTTATTATTAAGACGATTCAATTTCAATTTTTACTCAAAACAAGAAATTTCATTTCGAACAGGAAATCGTTTTGATTCATACATTTAATCAGCATCATCAGATTATGTTGCATTATTGGGACAAACAATTGAGGCTGCTGGTTTCGTTAAAATGTGAATCATGTTTATGGTTTTAGTTGATTTCAAGTCCAAAAACATAATCAGCAACTGGATACTTTACTTTTACTCAGCAAAATGTATCTTTTTATTTGACTTTATTTTAGATTTGGTTTACTTCATGCAATTGAAAAATTTCATGAAAATACATTTTTAGTATCCTGTGACTTTGTATAGATTCAGAGACATTGAGACTGAGCTAATCTTAGTCTATCCTCAAAATTAGCAATTCAATAAGTCCAAGGGGTTCTTGAATCGATTTATCAGAATAAAGATACACTTGAAATTTAGAGTTGGAAGATAACTTTGATCCTAATAACAGTTTATTTTCAAGTAAGAGTCTAACCAAGTTAACTTGAAGGTTACTCAAAGAGCGTCTTTCATCTTTAGCACTTTCATTGAAATAACATTAAAGGCTGAAATCGATTCAGTTGCAATACATTTCATCCAGTATAATTGTCCACTTCACTCTGACTTTCACTAACCCAGACATCAATCCTTCAAGTCACCTAAACCTCTTGCTTCTACCCTTCAAAATCATTTGTTAGTGCGATGTAGCTCAATCAGCTTTACTCATTAACTTTCCAAGGTATTTCAAATCATCCCTATTTTGATCTAATTAACAAACTAATTGTTACTTAATGACATTCCAAGTCAAAACTAAACATCACTAAACAGGGAATTTCGATGGTCACTGATTATCAAAAACTTGAGCTACCTTGGATCTGTTCATTACGCGACGAAAAACCTCAAACTGAATCTGTAACTGAAAATTGTGAATCAAATTCCATTGCTCTAACAAACTTGGTAAATACTGAAAAGATTGTTATCCAAAGGAAATTTGATTGTTTATTGTTTACAGCAAATTTGTTTTCCATTAAGCACCACTAATGATTTCCATAAAACAAACACCTTTTAAAGGTATAAAGTCAGGTATAATAGGAGAGCAAATAGGAACCTTGAGAGAGGAAAAAGTGGTTTCGTTTCCCATTTAAATTGTTTAACCAACATTAATAATGAAAATGTTGTTGACAAATGTTCATTTAAATAGATCAACCTTCACGGTCTTACCTGACCATGAGATGATACGATACCATGAGTCTTGAGAATTGAACCCTTAAACGGGATTCTTGCTTGGTTGACCCAAGGAGTATCGAATGAGAGACTAGCCTTGGCTCATTTGCCGTTACCACCAAAAGTTACCTTTTTTACCCAATTCAAAATTCATTTTGGGTTCACTTTTATTTACACAGTTAATCTGAACCGTTGACAACTTGATTTTTACACTTGTTTACCAAACCATTTTCAACTCGAACTCAACCATCAACATGAAACTTTACATGGTAAGTTGCAATTTCCAATCGTGTTCAACTTGTTCAATTGATCATCGTTTTTTGATTGCTTAATGTATCAAGTTTTGTGTAACTGTGAAGACAAAAAAAATGTGCAATTCATTGACAAGTAAACAGTGAATTTGGTTCAACATTTTTTTCTGCCTTCTTCATCTGCATCCCAACCCTTGGCAATGCAAACAAAATTAGATGTGATTTTCAGTGTAACATGATAACCATCAATTGATCATCATCATCATAATCACCAATGAGTTTAATATATTCCAAGATGAATGATGAGAATGGCGAAATGAACAAGAAAAATAAACAAGCAAAGTGCTTAAGGTTATATGTAAAAATGAAAGTGCAATGGAAATGCTGGTGAAACAAAATTATATGAAACACCATTAAATCTGATTGTATTTAATGAATTGATTGTCTGCATACTAAACACAATCAGGCCTGAAACCACGTTTCATTAGCATATGTGAATGGATAAGGTTGACTGTAAATGAGCCAAATGTTAGAGTTGATTTGGGTTTGAAAAATCTCTTCATCTTTAAGTCAACAAAATGATTGAATCACAATTTTAATGAGAAAAGCTCTTCTCTTGACCCTTTCAATTAAACTCTGCTTTTTTCAATTCTTGCATTCGTTGCAAGGTTACTTGTGTTTCTAATTTTAATGTTGTTTTTCAATTTCATTACATTTACAATATCATCATGGTTATGCTTCATTGAAACATTACTATTGTCTTTTCATTTCAACACTTGAAATTCAATAATTAGCTTCATTGTTGTTTGCCTTTTTGTTGTGACTTGTTTATTCATTTGTTTGATTCACTGTTCTGCTTTTTTCCCCTCATTCTGTAGCTTCTCGTTTTATCAATTATCATGACTCTTTCCTCTGCTAATCCCATCGGCCTTGGTGGTGGTCTCGGTGGCCTTGGACTTGGAGGGGGCCTTGGTGGCGGTCTAGGTGGAGGCGGTCTGGGTAATGGTATCAGTTTTGGTCGCTCTTATGGAGGTGGCATTGGGTATGGAGGTGGATATGGACTTGGACCCAATGGACCAGTCGGTGGATTCACTGTTATCCCACTCTTTGGTTAAACAATTGCACAGACTTTATGTACTTTCTTATCCCTTAAACCTTTGTTTCCATTTTGATAACTTCCAAGTATTGAACTTTTGCCACTCAAAAATGATTCAATAAATTATCTCTTTTATACTCAAAGTGACATCTATTGGAAAAGGATTCATTTTTTATTTCAACCTTTTCCGTCTTCTTCTATTCATCAAATTTTTACCTTTAAACAGTCGACAGTAAATTACTTTAAATTGTACGCCACCAATAATCTAATAATCTCATGAAATGTTAACCTTTTTAGGCTTCATTTTGTATTCTTGTTCAACTTATTAGATTAGCTTTAAGGTTTGCAATGATTTCCATTAAATTGATCGAGTTAATGAAAAAAGATTAAAATAGATTCAACTTTCAATATAAAATTTTCACTGTTTGTCGAGTTTTTTTTTGCTGAAATGAAGAAAATTCATTCGGCTCTTGGTTTTCCATGATAAATGTAGTTAATGAACTATTCAATTCCCAGATGATGTACACTGAAACATTTAATCTCATCATTACAACAGCATTCCCTGTCTATTATGGTTTCCCATTTTGCCTTTAAATATCATTCAATAAACACTGAAAGTTTGGTCACAAAAATAACTTGCTCTGGTAATGTAAAAAAGAGATTTTTTTGGTGGAAAAAAGTGAAAAATATTCCTTTTTTCTTCTTTCCTCACCTAAAATAACAGAAGATAATTTCAAGTTTTTTTTTCTTACGCCTTCAGGGTTTAGATTTTGAACACTTTTAGAATGTTGAAACGAAATCAACTTTCTTTTCACTCTTTTTTTGGTCACTAAAAGGACAGGAATACTACTGAATGTACAGATCATGATGAAAATGTAATGGACTTGGAATTTGTGATCAGATAATTTTATTATATTATTATCATTTCGACTTCCGCACTCGACAAGCAAAAAAGGTGAAAAATGGCAAAAAATGAGAGTTTCAGTTGAACAGACAATTGTTGATCATGAAGGTTAAACATGAATCAATTGAAAATTGAATTATAAGCAAAGTAAACAGCAATTGCAATCAATAAATGTAAAGTTGAAAAATGTCCTTTGATAGGAGTAAAAGTTTCCAAATCAGTTTTCGAAGTGTTCAAAGAAGCCTCCAAATTAAAGTAAACTTGCAAAATAAATTCAAACTACAAAAGCACAAATCAATGAATCGGATTTTGAAATCGTTGTTTATCGATTTTTCTTGCAACAATAAATACTGAGTCACTTTCATGATTCAATTTCATGCCAAGACAAATCATGAATGTACATTTAGGCATGTTTGATGGTCAATTGGTATGACTTCCGTACTCAGTTGGGTCAATTGACCATGCTTGATACTAAACTTAACAATGATTTGAATAATGCAGAAATGCTTCCAGGATTCCTGCTTCCTGTGAGTCTAACGGGAAGTCTAACCGCTCAAGGTTGCATTTGGCAGAATACAACTTTTAACAAAACGTGGCACGAATTTTAGTATTCAGGTGAACATTGAAGGTTACTGGTTAACACACCAGAACAACGAATTTCATACATTTTTGAAGTCATACTATTAACACAAACAGTAACCAAAGGCTACTAGAGCACCAATGCAATCGGGCTCCTTTTTTAGCCTTATGTGGGTTTTTCAGTGTAACGATGACAAGGGATTCAAGATTCCAGTAAAGACTTTATTAATAATCAGTAATAATCAGATGTCAAAGTACAAAATGTAAGTCAATTAAAACTTTCAGTGCTGCAAATGAATTTTAAGTCAAGTCGAGTGACGGATTGATCTAAAAATTAATTATGCAAATGAGAAAGGACGAGGACCGAAAGAATAAGAAAAGTGCATAAAAATAAGTTAGAATAGGTTCAAATCCTTAGTAAGTCTTAAAACACTTGCAATTATTAATGGTAGTGAATATCGAATCTGATTGACCTTTCATCCAAACAATCAATTAATACAATGTATTCGCTTCCTTAAACGGAAACAGGATAGTACCTATCCTACATTATGATTTGTAATAAAAATTTGCGATTGTTCAAGTGCATTGAACATATAGAAATGACCATTAGTATCGTTGAGGCGAACTAATGCCAATAATGGGAATGGAAAGTGAAACAGTTTGAAGCAATTGTTGCTGATGTTAATCATGCTACAAATGCTAGCAAGTTACATGATGGTTGAGTAATGGAGTAAAAGTTTATTACCTGTGAAAGAGCAGGTTATTATAAGCATTTCCTCTATGGATGTCTCTGAACAATTGTAATGTTTATTCTCAACAGTGAATAGTAAAGTGTTAACTGATAATTCCATGTACAGTAAGGTCAATCGTTCCAGTTTATTATTGCTGCTATGATATTAATGATGAATGATAATTGCTTAAATGAAACATAATAAGCAGCAAAGTTCAGTTTATACCCACATGAAAAGCCATGTAAAGACAAGAAGAAAATGTTCCACAAACTAAGATGCTCATGAGGGTCTTATGATTGTTGGATGTATTACAAGCAATTGGCGGATAAGTTTGCTAATAAAACTTAAGAAATAAAGAATGCCAAAACTGCCTAAGAACTAGATTTTTTCATATTATGCTGAAATAGCAAACTGTATGCTGAATTCATTACTTTAAGTTTTTTTTCGAAACTGTTTCGTTCGAGTTTTAGCATCAATAACTGCATACTTAGACCCATTCAACTCAGAAAAGTATGAAATTCCCAATGAAGATTGTCGCTACTGAATCAGAGTGGAAAACTTCTGGAGCTTCAATAAAACATTGTTAGTAATGTAAAGAGAGTTTTCATTTCAAATGCAACTTTAAACTATTGACTAGATTTGACACAAAAATAAACTTTTATGGAAATGAATAGTTTTCACTTTACAAGCCAATATTTCACTCGATTTTCAAATAAATTTTCATGGATTGATCCTGAAAATGACACATTCAGTATGTAAACGTAAGTTATTTTTTGTAATTGATATTTTTATCGAGCTATAACGATGCGAAGTCTACAGTTTCTTGAAACATTCATGGTCAAATCTGAAAAAATATTTTCTGTCTCTTGTTTTTGATCGAGATTTATGGGCTTAAAAATCCATTTCAGGTTGAAATTTTGAGAAATGGTTTTATTGGAAGAAAAATGTAATTCCAACATTTTTTCGTTTCCCATCGATTAAAGCTTTTCCCTTCGAATGACTGTTCAATTTCAACTTTATATAAACTTTTAATGATGTTTAAAGCTGATTATCAAATTTTCAACCCATTTTTTCACTAAAACTTGACACACTCAAAGAGTTTATCATAAGTATCTGACCACATAATCCTGTTTCTATCTATTTCTTGGTAAATAAGTCATTATTGATAATTCAGTTTGCAATATTTCTGTTTGCATCAGAAAACAAGGCAACTATTGAAGATGAAATTGAAAGGTCAAAAGGTGGTTAACAAGATTTACTCAATTGACAATTTTTCATGGCGATCCACTTTCCTCTCTACTGATCAAAACTCGAAAAGAACCAGATTATAAAGGAAAATATTTCACAATTCAAAATTCATTTCAAATGATTTATGAGAATATTAAGTTTGCATTGTTATTCAATGAGTCTTGCTCAACCACTTATGATGCAAGCTGAGATCATCACACCATCAAAGTGCCAACGAGCCAACATGAAATAAATAGAAAATCGAATTTTTTGAAATCGAAAAATTTCATCATTCGACCTATTTTTGCTTCATGAAATGCTGACCTTTTAGATATCCAATTGACTTCAATTATTTTATCGCAGATGGCTCACCATTCAAGGCATATTCATGGGCAACCTGAATAGTCCAACAAGTTTATTGCTTATCCTTTAGCCTGATCGTCATGCAATTCAGTGGCACCTTAATTGCAATCCAATTTAGTTTAATCCACTGACTAATCTGAAACTTTTTGCAACTCTTGGTGATTGCATAAAAAACTCTGAAATTCATTTGGTTCATCTAAACTTGCTAAAAGATTTGAAGATTAGTCTGACTCTTAATTGTTATTATCGAGAAAAGGTCAGCTAAAAATATCTGGATTACAAATGTACTCATAATGATAGTTGTTGGTCCAAATCAACAGCAGCTTCATCTTAATCAATAGTCGAGCTTAAATCAAATCAAAAAGTCCAAAACTGACATGTTGAAGGTTTAGCTCTTCTTTGTACTTCTAATTATCTTATCGTCAGATTTTTTGTGCTCAGTCTTTTCATTCATTTTTCACCTTCAATGGTTCAAACCAAACATTTTGACTTGTCTATTAGTTAAATGGGCAAGAAAAAAGCACCAAGCTGTTGATAAAAGAAAAGCATTATTTGCAATCAAAATCAATTGGTATTATTCTGATTCCATTTGGTATTAACAGAATTGGAATGAGCATTCCTCTTCTCAAAGGATTATTATCGTATTCATTTCTTACTAAATAGCAGTCACAGAAAGAAAAGGATCACAATCAAAATCCTTTGCTCTATTTACAGATGAAATATAAAAGGATGACTTTTTTCACTTTTTTCTGTTGGTAAAATCTTTCTCCATCTCATCTGAACAAAGTTCATGATTCCCATCGTTCATCTCTCAATGAGAAAAAACAAAACGAAATAAAGTTTTTCAATAGTCAATTGAACTTTACGAGAAACGTTTATATTATATTAATCAGAACTTGTTGAATGCTTTTGTCTACTGGAATCAATGGTAAAGTAACATTTTTTAGACTCTCATTTGGATTCATTTTTAATGAAACTCTTTCTTTGATGAAGTAAATGGAAAAATGAAGGAAAAGCTTTCCAAGAATCAGTTAGCAACAAAATGAAATGCACTTCAACTTTAACCAATTTTAAAGTAAAAATGAAATTCAATTTTGAGTTCATTCTTATGACAAGTACAGTTGTTGTAAAGCTCAGTATTGTTGTAATCATGCAAACATTGATGTTATAATATTGAAAGATCGCAAAATAAATTACATTTTTCTTTCATCTTTTCTTTCTTCTTCTTTTTCCTTGCTTCTCGGAATATTATCACAATCTTTAAGCTAATAATCTCATGATTTTTCACTCCCAGACATTTAGTTAAGGTTTATACATTTATTAATCGTCACCAATTTATATGG